TTAAATGTTAAACATTTCTAAATATTTTGTTAGCAAGAAATACAAAAAAGTAAATGAAAACAATTATAAAATTATGTTGAATTAAATGCAGCATAGCTCAGCACAATTACGAATTCCAGATCAAATTACGGTATAATGTATCGCCTCTTCTGCAAAATTCATTTTAACCGTGAAATATTATACAGTAAAATTTTTGCAATAATATTTATTTAATTAGAGTGACTCAGGGATTCTACGGTAATTATTGCTGTAAAAATCCTGATACATCAGATTCTTAAAAATAATAAGCATGTTCCAGTTAACATGTACCTTTCCGTAATATATTCCACTTTGAATTGATTTTACGGTAAAAAGTGCCGTCACTCTGAGTTCCGGCACTTTTTATCGTAATTTGAGTACGAATAAAATTATTTTTTTCTTAGTTAAGGAGATCATTTAAAAAAGAGCCTTGTTTGCGAATTTGTACACTTAAAAATTCTAATTTCTTACTAGTTTTAATGGGTGATAGATGTTAGCTTATAATTGTATAGAAATAAAAATAAAACCAACCGACAAAAAAAAATGTGTTTACTAAATAAAATATTGTGTGCCAAACTTTCTGACATACTTTTGATAAAATTACATTTCGTATAATAGTTTCACAATTCACTACTAAGTACACACACTAATAAAACTATATTTTATGTTTAATTTTACAAAAAGTCATTACCACAGCTCTGCTGTAAGAATTACCATACTTTTTGATGTACCCATAGAGCCAAGAAACATGGTAAAGCTTATCATATTCTGGTAGTTTTAACCAAAGGTTTTTTTTCAGCATGGATTTTCAACAGCAAATAATTCCATTGGTACCAAATTGATAGCTATTATTCCCTTCTCCAATTTTTAAGGATTGAAACTTTAAATCCATTGAAGAAATGCTGATTTTTCTGGAGAAGGACTACACATATCATCCTGAATAATGCGTCATTTTTAAAAATACGCAATCCAAACAAACAAATATAGAAACATAAATTTTTTTCTTAACTTTTTAACGCACTAAGCGAGCACTCAGTGGCCTGACAGCCCAAAGAGAGCCAAGGCCTATTGTGCCCATTTTAGTTTTATTGACCATGGACTCAGGGATGCATGGATGTGGTCAGCCAAACGCGATAAAAAATAGTGCTGAGCCCCATTGTTTAGATACTTATTTTATCGACTCACTGAAGGGATGAAAGGCTGAGTCAAACTTGTCAGGCCCGAGGATCGAACCCAGGACCAGAGACACGAGAGTGCGAAGTGTTGACATTCAACCACCTAGCGTCACAATGCAAACATATGTTCCGAATTTTCCTGAATTTCATTTAAAAATAGCAATATCCATTTTTTCGAAATCATTCGTAATTAGTTATACTAAATGTTTTTAAAAAACCTATTTTGCTCGAGATTATTTACTTACTCCTCGTGGGAATTTTTCGTCTATTTCCCTTCTGCCGTGGAGCATTTTACAAAAATTATAGGAGTTATAAAGTGTTCAAAAACACAGCATTTACTGAAACAAACAGCAATTTCATATTTTTCATTTTCAAGCAGAGTTTTTATTGAGAAAAAGAAAATCTCTTGTGTAGAAACGTAAATTTTGTTATTTATATTAATAATTCTAGTAACTGAGTTAAACTGAATTGAAACTTATTTATTGATCATTGTCTTTGCACGGATGTATTGTTTCAGCAAACAAATTTTTATTTGAGTCTAATAACATCGTTGATCTTCATATTTATAGCCTAATACAAAACATTACATGGGTTTTGGTAATACTTTCTTGCTAAACACGCATTAAATTATCATCTTGTAAATCAGAAAATTGCTAAATTTTAATATGAGTTCAATATCAAAGTCAATCTTCATATTTATAACCTAATACAAAACATTGCATGGGTTTTGGAAATACTTTCTTCTAACGAAAAAAATGAATTAATTTATTATCTTATAATTCAAAAAAATAGTTTTTTATAAAATTCGTTAGTTTTTTCTTAGATGAATGTAAGCATTAAAGAAGTTGTCAGATTGTAGATTTAATTATTTGAAAATCTTTTCCTGTAACTCTTGCTAGTAGCGAGAAGGTATATTTCAATTAAGTCCCTTCGCATGAGCTCTTGTATAACTGTTTTCAGTTTTATAATTAACTGTCTTTTTTATTTTTTAATAAAAGTCAATTTACTTAAGTCATTTTTTAAGATCTCTATGCAAGACACAAGCTGATTTTTTATATCTAAGAAAGCATTTTTTTACACGTTTCATTGTTTTCCACTGTTTTTAATCAAAAATTTTCAATTAACTGCTTATTAAAATTTCATCCTTATTTAAGTTAAGAGAATAGTGTAAGTTTGTTTTTTTACAATTAATTTTTCATCTTTCTCCTTGTAAAACAGATAAAAGACGAAAAGACGATACGCAAAATAATGTAGTAAAAAAATAATGTATTTTGATATACAAAAGAAGTAGTAATTAGATATTTATTGTTAGTTCTGCAAAAAATTATGTCAAATTAAACTTAATAAATTACAGTAAACAATATAAATTCATGACTTTTTCAACAATTAAATAAACGAAAAATATTCCCCGACTAAGAAAAAAACAATGCTCACTTTTTATCAGTAGAAGATATCTCAGAAATTATTTTCGATTTGATTGTTTTTTGATTGTGTTTTTTTTAAAGATTTCTTAGGATGTTAAATCTAGTTTTAAAAGTTTAAATAATACTAATTGCATTTTTAATTTTTTTTGTTGCGGTAATTTGATTATTGATGTTCTTATTATTTTTTTTTCAAATCCGCAGTAATTTTCAGGACATTATTGTATTTGAAATAATTAAGGAAAATTATAAGAAATGCAATACAAATTACACTTACAGTCAGTAGTTTTTCTTTCAAAATATAAATAAAAACATTCCCTTGAAGAAAAACATGCATTTTACAGCTTTTCTAGAACATTTTTAACGCATTTCATGCTTTTTAGTTTTTTTTGTGGAGAAACTCATATTTTTTATGTTTCCTCTTCTATTGATCAAAATTTTCAATTTGCTGATAAGAGCTTATCATGAGTTTTGAATAATTCCTTCCCTTAAATAGAATAACTTTTATTTGTTTTCACACAAAGATTTTACTCACTTTGTGGTAAGTAATACATTAGCGTCCTCAAAAAGAAAATATACAGGCCAGAGAGTTAAATGTGTCCAAAAGAAGCAATAAATTTAGAAGAGTGGTGAGATTTGTGGGAATTTATGCACTAATAAAATTACTAAGTTGTAGAATACAGAAGAATTTCGTAGATTTTATGGGTTGAAAAAAGAGAAACTGTCCGAAAAACGGAAGAGCGAATGCTTAAATTCCGTTGATGGAAAATACATCAAAAGTGATATTTTACAATAAAAAAGCAATAAACGTCAGGAAGTTCTGCGTATAAATATAAATTTTCCACTTTCAGAAATCTCCGGTTAGGAAGTGATGTTTGTTTTAAATTCCAGTGATGCAAAAAACCATAAGTTAATATTTCGTATTTTTATTTAAAGGCATTATTTATATTAATACATATTTTGAATAGTTTTATTTCTCTAGATTGTAGTTAAACTCGAATTTTTTCGTTAACTTTCAGATTTGAAACGCTTAACCAAGATAAATTCCGACAGGGAAGAGTTTTTCAGGTTTCCACAAACAGCTCATGCAGAAGTAATACACTGAGAAAATAAAAGTATGGTAATTTTTACCGAATTTATCCGAAATACTTTGGTAATATTTTTCTGAAAAATTAGCATTAAAATATGGTTTAATTACGATGCTGTTTGTAAATAAACGTAGTAAAATTTGATAATTTTATCATGATACCTTACAATATCGCATAACATTTGACTAAATTTATTTCTCAGTTATGCATTTCTTCTAAGTATGTGGTAATAAAAATTATAATTTTGAAAACCAGAATTTCCGGTTAACCGTTGCTACACGAACAGAAATGAATGATTTAAATACCGTATATTTTGGTTTTATTGGCAAAGTGAAGATTCTTCATAACCACAAGTAATATCTTATAAGCTTCGTAATTTTATCATAATTGTTTTCTTCGAGCATTACATTTTTTGCATTACTTTAGAAATTTTTGATGAATACTAGAGATATACATGGATAATAACCATATTATCCTGGTTTTTTAGAATTTAATTAATGAATGCAAAGTAAAGTAGGGAAATAACGATAGGATATTCCGAACCAAAAGGGGTTTAGTTGTTTTTTGTGGTCTGTGCGTATTTTAGATTTAAAGAGCATTTTATATCAGCAATAAAGAATACTACATTAAGAATTGCACTCAATATTACGTACCTTAAGAAAGATTTCTGTTATAATAATAGTTTTGGTCTAAAAATAAAGCATTATTAAATTTTTTTTAAAAAATAATCGCAAAATTTTTATTGTATGCTTACTTTTTGATCTTTTGTGGATTTTTTTTCTTCATGAAAATTGCTGTTACGCAATCTTTCAATCATTACGGTTTTACGTGATTCTTGAGGCAATACAATTTCTTAAATATTTGACGAAACTTTTACCGTTTCATCACAAATCACGTGATTTCGCTAAGAAATTATTCTCAAAATTAACGGAATACTGCTCAAAGACTACTGAATTTTCAAAAGTGAGAGTTTTGTTTCCGAGAGTGTAAATGATACTTGTACAACTAATAGATACATAACTTAAAGATACACTCTACTTTCTTTATGATTAACCCTACTATCCTTACTGACGCTATTTAATGTACAGATTTCAAGTTTAAATTGCATTTTTCATGTACATTCGGTGTTTTAAAATGCCTTAACTTTAGATATTCAAATCAGAAGCTAGTTTCTCTCAAGGGAGCAGTAGAGATTCTTTCTATAAGAGCAACGGTGTGAATAATTTATTCGTTGTAGAAAAGGGCAACACAATCTTTTAGTAAGTGGAGATCTTTTAAGAGGAAAGAAAATATCTTACCTAATGCTTCTGAAAACTTCGCCGCCCGCGGAGATACGGAGGAAGGTATTTTGTGTTGTAGCTTTGTGGAAATAGGCGCTCTTCTCGTTTACAAAAAAGGTATCTGGGACCCAAATTCGATCAGCGACCTCGGCGCCTACCGTCAAGCTCTCGAATCCCGTCCTTGGGGTAAACGAAAGCCGGTCATCAGTCCAAGCTTGACGAAAATAGAAATCAAGTGTAAAATCCTGAAATAAAAGTACCAAAAAATTGAAATCTTTACACATTTTTATTAATAAGAGACTTTTTAATACAAACAAATAACGAATATTTAATTTAATATGTTTTTATTTGGTTCCTTATAATGTTCTTATTTTCATAATTAGCAGTAATTCTACCTTCATAACAAAATTTATTTTGTTTCAATATATTAATATTTGGTTGTAATTTGGGGTTATGGAAACTGGTCCCAAGCTTGACGAAATAGAAATGAAGTGTAAAATCCTGAAATAAAAGTACCAAAAAAATGAAATCTTTACACATTTTTATTAATAAGAAACTTTTTAATACAAACGAATAATGAATATTTTTATTTAATATATTTTAAGATATTAAATATTTTTATTTGGTTCTTTATAATGTTTTTATTTTCATAAGTAGCAGTAATTCTAATTTAATAACAAAATTTATTTTGTTTCAATATATTAATATTTGGTTGTAACTTGGGGTAACGAAAATTTGTCATCAGTCCAAGCTTGACGAAAATAGAAATCAAGTATAAAATCCTGAAATAAAAGTACCAAAAAAATGAAATCTTTACGCATTTTTATTAATAAGAGGCTTTTTAACACAAACGAATAATGAATATTTTAATTTAATATATTTTAAGATATTAAATGTTTTTATTTGGTTCTTTATAAAGTATTTATTTTCATAATTAGCAGTAATTCTACCTTCATAACAAAATTCATTTTGTTTCAATATATTAATATTTAGTTGTAATTTGGGGTTACGGAAACTGGTCATCAGTCCAAGCTTCATGAAAATAGAAATCAAGTGTAAAATATTTAGATAAAATGATCAAAAATGAAATCTTAGCACATTTTTATTAGCAAAAAAAAGTTTCTAATACATATGGATAATGAATATTTCAATTTTAATTTTCAAAAATTGTAATTTCTATAAATATTATTTATTTAAGTTAATAATTATTTTTATTTTGCTCTTATAAAATAATGTTTCTATTTTCATAAAGAGTAATAATTCTACTTTCAAATCAAAATTCATTTTATTTCAATAATTTAAAATTTGGTCATAACTTGGCGTAAATGAAGCAATCCAAGCTTGACGAAAATAGAAATCAAGTGTAAAAACCTGAAATAAAAGTACCGAAAAAGAAAAATTTTCACTTTTTCATAAATAGAAAACTTTCTTATACACATGGATAATGAGTACTTTAATTTTATTTTCTGTAAATTTTAATATTTCTTAAGCTAATAAATATTTTATTTTGTTCTTATAAAATAATGCTTTTATTTTTATGAATAACAATAATTCTACATTCATGACAGAATTTTTTTTTATTTTAATAAATTATTACTTGGCTGTAACTTAGGGTAAACGAAAGCAGGTCAACAGTCCAAGATAAACAGAAATGGATATAATAAGTCCTATATAGTAATTTTTCCAACTTTATAACGTATTTAATTTTATTTTAACGAAAGAAAAATTTTATTTCTAGAAATTTGTTTAAACTTAAATTCAAAATTTTAATCATTAAAATTTTGTGAAGCTAACAGTTTTGCTTTTATAAATGTAAGTTACATTATGTTAATATAATTATAATGATAATATATATTTTTCTTGTTTAATTTGACGCTATTAAATTGTGTGGTTTTGTTACTTTTTTGCAACTATTTTTTGGAGCTTATGAAAAAAATTATCATTATCAATACAATAATGATTTTATTTTCGTGAACATAAATATTTCTTTTCCACAAATCTGAAAATTTAGACAATCTGAAAGCGAGATCTGACAATCTGATAGCTTGAAATATATTCTATCATCTTTATAATTATTATTCGTTTTACTTGAAGAAAAAATATTTTTGAATAAGAACAGGTTGCTGGCCAAAAAAGACCTCGAATGGGAAGGTTTTATATTTTCGATAACGATGGTGACAATGTTATCACTATTGCGTGCAGGCAGCCATTTCATATCATGTGATCAGATGGATTTTATAAATCAGGAGCTGAGTAGTTTTTCAGGCACAATGAAGAGAATCAACCTGTTCTCCCTGTGTCAGTTCAGCGATATAATCACAGTGCCATCGCAGCGCTAAAATTATTGTCTTAAATGCTAATAGAGTCACGGTGGTTTAAAGGAGTTAAATATAAACAGTGGTAGATAGATAATGGGTTAGAATACTTTTGCTTTTCGCCTAACAATCCACGTAACGCAAATGAGAGTTAATTTTCATCAAGAAAGTTCTCGACGAAGGAGATATCCAGGAGATATTTTGTTTTCTGTGTTGGGTTCAAAATTACTAGGCTACAAAGTTGAAAAATGATAAGTAAATCCAAATATGGGTCGGCTGCTCAATGCCAATCATAAAAAAATAAGAGACTTATATTATGTATGCAAATATTAACAGTAAGAAGCACGGTATTACAAAATTGAGTGCTTAAATATGAATGCGTTTAAATCTTAACAAAGAATCTTAAATCTTTGCAAAACAATCTGAAACAAGTCATTTCTTCTGGTAAGTATGGGGCAGAACAAACAAAAAAATAGACCGTAGCAGTTGGATCTCTGTCAACGAATCAATTAAAAGAAATGTTGCTCACTATTAAAGTTAATGAAATTATAAATGTTGATAAAAATTTGCTGAATAATTCATAACATTAATTGCATTGAACTTATTAAAGTTTTTCCTCATTTCTTGTTTTTTGTTCAGTAAATTTCTTAAAATCTAAATGATTTAAACAGGAGAAATTTTAGATCGATTATAAAATTTTAATAATTTTTAATTGACTTATTTTAAATGTTTTTTTTGGACAAAGATCTGTCTGTAGTTGCCGTCTTTCTCATTTGCGATCCCTTATTCTAGGGTGAAAAGGACTTACTTAAATATCCTCCTTTTCATTCTAATTTGTCAGTTAATATTAATATCAACAGTTTAAAATTCCAATGTTGCATATCTTAGTTATAGCATTATAAGAATAAATATATACCATGATATATAATGCATTCAAAATGTTTTTAATTTGAAAAGAATTTCAAATAAATTAATTACTTTAATTTTTCGTTTAATTTTATTCAATTAAAATAATTTCAATGATTTAAATAAATATCAATAAAAATTATAGATATACATATAAATAAAAATATACATATTATTTTTTAAATAGCAATAAAGTATTTAAAATGTTTTTATAAATAAATATTATTATATAAATCTATTATTATTGATAAATATTATTATATAATATAATACTTAATACTTAAAAAATTACTTTAAACTCTCGTTTAATTTTGCTCAGTTAAAATAATTTTTCTCTACAATATTTAATTCAGATCGATAAAAATTGCTATTAGCGATTTAAAGTTGTTTCTTTTCACATTCTGAATAAATAATAAATGCTAAATATATTAAATTATTAATTTTTTAGTGAACGTTCAATGTCGTTAACCCGAATTTGTATGAAAAAAAAAACTACATTAAATTCAGTTGCATCGCTTCATCAATAAAAATTTTATTTAATTGGGAGAATGCATTAGTATGAAAAACTTTTCAATTGCTAATGCAATTTTCAATTATCGTCCTTTCAATTTAATTATTAAAATGAAGAAGTAGAGCGTTTTAAAGGAAAGGTGGGAACAATAAAATAAATTACCTCTCTTTCATGTCTAGATGTTTTATGAATATGAAATAGGTGTGGCTCATGAGTCAAGGCGCCGACATTTCAATTTAGAAATGTAAGAACAAAGTAATTTAAATGGCTGTTTTTGCTACTATTTTTAATAGCTTTTCACTTTCAATAAATTTTAATAAGAAATATTTTAGCTTAAATCCAGTGTATTTATGGGACCTAGCACATAATATCGACAAATTTTTCAGAAACTCAATTTCTCAAATTGCATAACATATTTTATTTTAGTTTTTTTCAAAAGCTATAAATTAAATGTTAATTCATGTTAAATTAAACAAAGAATCGAAATGTAAGAGTAAAAAGTTTAATGTTTAGATTTTTTGTTGTTGCTTTTTTTCCTCTCAAAGTACATTTTTTTAAAACTCTCTTAATAATTTAAGGTAAAATTTGGTAAAGTTTCAGCATATTTGAAAGAAGTGGAATAAAACATTAGTGAGCCTCATTTTTTTGGAAAACTGTTCCTTGGTAACATTTACATGTATGTACTTTATGAAATGCAGGTTTTACCACTACCACTACACTGCAAAAAGTGATGGTTCAAATTAAGTGTGGGTGTATCATCAGTAAAATAATTTTTTACCGCAAAATCTCCATTTTTACCGTAAAAAAATTTTACTATGTACCCGCAGAAAAATAAACATGGTGAATTTTACCATATTCTGGCAGTTCTGATCATATTTTTTTCGAAGTGTAAGAATATATTAAAAATTGCAATATATTGCGCAATTATAATAAATAGTATTATAAATTTGTCGTAACAGTAAACATGACTAAATGAGTGCTTTCATCCAATTTTGATATATTTTAAATAGTAATATACGGCAAATATACCTTACAGCAACCGTGCTAATATGAAAACGAGATTTCGATTGCAGTTATATTTGACCACTTTGTGGACACATCGAACTCATTACTGGCAGCTGACATTCAACGTTTGAACTAGTTCTATAATTAAGATTTGTGGTTGGAAGGACTATCACCTTCTAAAGTAATGACAAATGGTACAATAAAGCTCATCAGGTATTTAGTTTGAATTCCTAAACTATTTCCTATTGTGAGTTGCCCATTTCTCCCATTTAAATTTTGATCACATTGTTAGAAATTTCTGGGAAAAAATGGTGAAATAATTATTGATTTAATTGATATTTCATCATATTTTTTTATAATTTTATAAGAGTCGTTGAACAGCCGACTCAATTTTTGGGTATAGGACTACTAATGCTCAACTCCGTAGTCTTGTAATTTCGAACCCAATCCGGAAGACAAGGGAACTCCTATATCAAGTATTGGCGGAAATTTTCCTTCGTGGAGGACT